ATCTTGGCACGAGGAGTCCCATGAAAATGGCCAGAAAAGGGGAGGAGGAGTCCCAGGGCTGGGGTAAGGCAGCAGGGGAGCTGGTTTGAGGTGCTGGCCGCGAGTGGAGGAAGTGCTGAGCCTCTCAGGGAAGCTCAGCGAGGCAGGGCTGGGATGAACCTGGGAGGGGCAGAGAGGCGCTTGTTTAGGATTAGGAACCCCTGACCCTAGGATGAGTGGGGTAGATAGGGCAACAAAGAGAGAGAGAGATGAAGGGCAGGAGAAGGGGCTGGGGGATACCCAGGGAGAGGAGGGGCCTGGAGAGAAGCCCAACAGCCTCTCTTCTGGGACAGAATCCAAGGTTTGCTCACTAGTTAAGGAGAGAGGGCCTTAAAGGGGAGCCACCTGGTGGCAGCATACCCAAATTACCGACTAAGCCCTCACATGAAATGGTATCTGGAGTGGGAGGCGTCATCCCTGCCACACCTGGGCAGTGCTGAGCAGCTGGACTTCCTCTGAAAGCCTGAAGGGTCCGTGTCCACACAGCCCTCCCTGCTCTTACCTGTGTTACCCCGGAGGCCTGAGGCAGTGAGGGGTGATGGCTGTGTTCACGGGGCTCCTGTAAAGCCCTGAAGTGTCTGTCTGGCCCTGCAATCTTCCCCATGCTACAAAATGACTACCCTTCAATCCCCCTGCCCCACAGAGCTCCTGGAAACCAGGCCAAGGAGCCCCGGGGCGTGGGTGGGACAGAGTGATGGGGAAATCACGAGAGGGAGGGCGTGCGGGGTTGTAAACGCTTCCACCCTGGACCCCCATTGGGTGGATCCCTTGGAAAGGGCTGTCCCCCAGCACATACCGAAGGAAAGCAGGAAGGCAGGTGGCCCCAGTGTGGGGCAGGGTCCCCTTGGCCAGGGTAGGAACCCTGGTGAGTCAGAACCCAAACCCCATCAAGCCTGCTGCTGTTCACACCCCACTAGAAACTGTGCCTGTGATTTCCTTCCCATCAGCATGGCTCCTGGGCTGGGTCTCTGGACAGGCCCTGAGGAGATGGGATCCCATCCAGCCAGGCCACAGAGGAGGGCAAAACCCTACAAAGCTGCACGGTCAGTCCAGGCCACAAAAACCCTCTTGGATCTCCCCTTTTTGGCTCAGGTGCCCCCGAAGTCATCTTGGCTCTGTCTGCTCTCTAAGCCTCAGCAGTAATATGAATAAGGATAATGACGACGACGGCTCCCTGGGTTCTGGCCTCTATTCGAAACTCTTCCCCCATTCAGATTCATGTCATCTTCACAACCACCCCAGCAGGCAGGAGCTACTGTAAATCCCGTTTTACAGGTTGAGAAGTGGAGGTAATTTGTCTGGGTTATACACCGCTGCTGTGTGTCAGCGCTCCGCACCCAGCCCTCTTAAACGTGGTGTGGCGGGCAGTGGGGAGTGGGAGCCAGCTGGGGCCCCCAGTAGCATTTTCAAACAGTGGCTTTATTTCACAGGGTCAAAGGCAGGGCACTGGGTATTAAGACAGCCTGGAGGATGACGAAATGTCATTGGGAGGCTTGGGCCTCTGGGTCTGGTCCAGACTTTGGACTACTTTGGTCCAGTGGTCCAGGAGCAGTGTGGAGTGGGTCCTGCAGGCCCAGGATGGAGCCACTGAGGGTCTTTAAAGCAGGTGGCTCTATGCCCTGGTGACCACCCAGTCCCTCTGCTCTACTCAGAACCTTCCTCTCCTGGGAAATTTAACAGACAGCTGGGCTTCTCCCCCTCCACAATCCCTCCAGCCCGACAGTCTTCACCCCGGCTCGCCCACACCTCTCAGGAGGTCCCTTCTAACGTGATCTCACCAGTGCCCAGACCCAACCTGGAGACCTGCGTCCCTTCTGCCTTGGTCCCCTTCCTGGGGGCCCCTCCAGTCTCCCTCATCTCCCAGCCCTAGGGCCCCTCTTCACCATCCTTCAGGCTGTAGAATTATGTCCTGATTCCTTGCCATTCAAAGCCTGCTGTGATCAGGCCCCAGCCAACTGCATCTCTCCCTGTTTCCACGAAACCGGTGGGAAGCCAACCCTGACCCCCCTGCCCTATGGCCACGCCAGAGCGAATGCTCTTCCCACTACCCAGAAATTCTCCCCGCTCCATCCCGCACCTTAACTCACTGACACCCTGCCCATCCCTTGAGATCCATTCCAAATGCCCCTCCTCCAGGAAGCCTTCCTTCACTGAGGATTCTCAACCTCTGCTACATCTTTTTAGCTTTCCCAAAGCCTCCCTCATCCTTCAGTAGCTTCTTGAGAAAGAGTCTATGGGAGGTACATGTTTGAAAAGTTTTATGACCCACATTTTTATTCTACCCTTATGCTTGATTAATTTACCTGCATACAAAATTTCAAAATTTTGCTCCACAGTCTTTAAGCAACCATTGTCCAGTGCTATTCTTTAGCCTGATCCTTCATATGCAAAGTATTTTTTTTTTAAATCTCTGTACATGTCTCCCATTTAGGAGCTTTTTTGGGGTTCTGGTCGGCTTTTTGGACTTCCTGTTCTTCTATAAAGCTCGGTTTCAGCTTTCTCCACAGGGCTAAAGAAATGATCCTTCTTCTATCTATATTCAAGCTTCTGAATTTTGCTGATGGCTCCTCTATCATACTCTTTGTCTTAGCAGACTTTCACCTTTAAACATCTCTTTACTGTCATGCCAGGGTGTCTCAAGAGCGGGCAGGGATGAATTCGCATGCCCCATTAGCCATATTTGAGATGTCCCTTGGGAGCCAGCTTTGAAGTGCATCCTGGCTACAAAGGCTTGGTGCTCTGCTCCCAGGCACCCAAGCTGCCCTCTTGAGTCACTTACGTAGGGCCCTGGTCTACATGGTGAATGTCGCTAACCAGGACCAACTACCACAAATGAAGGAGGGCCTGTGTGTGGGTCTGCTGTGAAGTAAGCGACGTGCCTGTTTAATGAGGCCCTGGACGACCTGCATCATAACCGTCCTTATGGTGAAACGTTGACTGAGGCTGGATCCAGTAGTCAGGGAAAGACAAAAGTCTCAGGCCTGGATGGGTAGGGAATCACTTTGCAATCGGGGAGGAAGGCCTTGTCCACACAAAAGGCTGATTCCAATGGACCGTGGATGCAGAAACGTGGCCCTACCCTGTTGTTTCTCAGTAGTAGCCCACGGTCATAGGGGTGGCCAAGGCCTTACTTCTCTTCCTATGCCCTTCCCTGCTCTAAACCCAGCATGCAGAGGGCAGTCCGCTTCACCCAGAGTCCCTGAGGCAGCTCTATTCCTGGGCAGCCGTCAAGTCACCGAGTGTCTGTTGCGCATTAATTACTACTACTGTTGCACATGGTGTGATGGACATCAGGGAACTCCAGGAGTTCCAGGAGTTTCATTCCGGGAGTGCACAGAGGGATGGAGCAGTGGAGCAATGTGTCTGTCAGACAATCAGAGAGGAAGGCAAGGAGGAAGGGGAGAGAAGATGAGTTATTGTGGCCCCACTTATATTTGGGGTAGACATATAATTTGTAATCCAAAGCGGGGCACTGTGAATAATAATGCAGGACCCCAGCCATAACCTGGGCGGTCCCAGGCAAGCTGGGCTGTAGTATGGACTCCCTCCCACTTCAGTACAGGGTCTCACTGAAGCCCTAAAATAGTCGTATAATTGGATGGCATTGTCTCCTTGTGAGGGGACAGTCTCTCTGAGCACAGGCTCCCTGGGTTCTGGGCTGTGTGTGTGTGTCAGGTTATGTGTGTGAGCTCATGAAGCTGGAGCTGGCGCTGGATCTCAGACTGGTATGATTCTGTCTTTTCAGCCTAAAACCTGCCTGTTCAGAGAAGAGGCTGTTTGGCAGGGGTTAGGCTAGAGGGTCGGGGGCCTAATGGAAATAGGGGACTGGAAAGATCGGGAAGATTTTTCAGGCAGCTCAGGTACCCAGCGAGCCTGGGGGCTAGTTTCAGGTCCAGGTTCCTTAGGGCCACAGGGAGCCTCGAGGCCATGGCCTGCCTGTGCTGGTGGGATCCAGTTAGCAAATCCACATCGTCCTGACCCAGCCATGCTCCCGGGGCTCCATCAGAGGGGCCCCACGGGATTTTCACACCTACATACATCTGCACACATGGTCACAGCACAGAGAGTTAGGCCAACACAAGCTATCACAGGTGCGACCCACTTGAAATGTGGATGTCCGCAACTTCACAGATATGACAAGAATATGCACGTGCAGACGTCCACATGCTCTATGCACACACCCGGTCACCCTTACTCCTGCTTCATGTACAATGTGTGCACAGGGGCTTCAGGCGAGACTTTCAACAGTTACCATGTGCCTCACCCCCATGACACTCCCAACCTCTCTCCTGGGAACCCCTGCCCCCCTCTCGAAGGGTGGCAGCTTTGGGCCCCAGCCTTTATGCAAATGCCAAGCCACAGCTCACTCCATCTTTTCTCTCCTCTCTAATTGACTGTTTTCCCTCCTTGCTGGGACTGCGGGAGCCCCGGGTCGGCATTCAGAAGGGCTCTCCCCCCACTGCCCGGCCCCTCCAACCCGAGCTCCCGGCGCTTTTAATCTAGTTACTTTTCCATCAACACACTGGGAGAAAGACACAAAGGGGCATAATCGTATCTGTGGCTGTTGATGTTCAATTAACCACATAACCTTTAGGCGCTCGCTCTCTCTCTTTCTTCCCCCCTCTCACCTCACCCCGCTTCTTCAGGCCAGCTGCCCCTCTGGGCCTGACAGTGGCTCAGAAGCCCACACCCCACACCAACGACCTGGCCTCCTGGCCCCTGGGAGATGCCCCGCCTTTTAGGCAAGGTAAGCCCTCAACCCCAATTCCAGCTGCACTCCCCATCTGACCCCTGCCTGCCCTTGCCCTGCCGGCCCCTTCTGCCACCCCTCCGTTCTTCTCCAGGCCTGGAGTGAGGGGTGCCTCTGGGAGCGGGCACCCCGCAAAACTCCGCTTTCTGGACCTTGTCTGGGGCCAGCAGCTGTCATTTGCCGGGCGTTCCGCTTTCTCCACTGTACCATGCTAATTTTTCGAGGGACAATTTTTTGACAATGAGTCCTCCAGCCCGAACAGAAACCCTTTATGGGGCCGGCCCCAGGGAGGCCGCGGCGCTGCCAAGGCAAACAAAGGCTCATTGCTGCCGCGGAACATGCCTGCGCCTTTCAGGGCCGGGTTCGCAGAGCGCGCCGCCTCCAGCCCGCGCCGAGGTAACACCTGGTCCGCCAACTCCTGGCGCCTAATCAAGATATCAATCACGGCGCGGGGGCAGGGGGGCGCACGGGCGCCGAAGGCTCCAGAACCCGGCATGTGCAGGTAGCCGGCAGCCTGGCCGGCCAGGGCTGCTTGGCAGGGAGCGCCGAGATCTGGGGGGAAAGAAATCAAGCCCCGAAGCTGAAGGCTTAATTAGGCTGATATCATCCCGCACAAATGTTCTTCCGAGAGGAAGGCTTCTGGGCACCAAAATTATTTTGTGATTAAAAGCGAAAAGGAAGGAGAAATGATTCGGCCTTCGGAGGAGTTCGGAGGGCTGGGGGAGCCAGCAGGAGGCTGGGGCGCAACGCAGGGCGCGGGACCCAGCCAAGCTCCCCACTTCCGCCCGCCCCCACCGGGACAGAGAGGCGCAAGGGTCCACAGACCCCTGCCATCGTGGCCTTTCCTGACTGCCCAGAGCTTCCAACGATGTAGAAGAGTGACAGTAAATGTCCGGGTCCCTGCATATAGGTGTTTCTTTAATCTGCACACCAGGCCAGAAAGGCCATGCATGTCGTCGTCATCCCATTTCGTAGATGGGGAAAATTAGCTCCGAGCGGTGACATCTTGCCCGAAGTCCCACGGCTGGTTAGTGGCAAGTGGAGAGTCTTAAGTCTTTCCAAAGGCTCCTGCGCCTGGAAAACGCCGTCCGTGGCGCGGTCGCGGCGCCAGGGGAATGCCTGACAGCCACCGTCTCTCCCGTGACAGCCGGGCTGAGCATCCGGGAAAGTCACTCGGCTTCAGAGAGCAGGAAACTGGGGAGGGCCGAGCCTCCGGCCACGCCTTGTCAACCCCGGAACCTCCACCAATCCCGGGCCCGGAACGACCAGGCCCGTTGCCGACCCCGCCCAGCACCTGGGCAGGTAGCGCGCGCAGGCGAACCGCGGGCCCGGGTTTCAGGGGCCTCACGCTGCGCGGAGAGGTTGCCCAGCAGTAGCTAGGCAGGCCTGGGCCAGGTCGTGGTTCTGCCACTTACTCGCTGTGCGACCTCTTGTGCCTCACTGTAACATGGGACAACGGTAGTCCCAGCCTCATGGTGCTTTTTGAGGATGGAATGAGCTCCTGCAAGTCAAGCTCAGCCCAGCGCTGGCTGTGGCTGTGCTCAGAAAACTCCACATGCAGGTCGGCATCCGGCAGCAGGCCCCGGTGCGCCACACTGATATGCTCACGCAAGGTTGATAAGGGGCTGTGCGCGAGCTTTTCAAGTGCCGCCTGTGCCCTTGGCCATGTTAGTTTTCTCCTGGGACACGCCCCCAGCCTCCCAGGATCTGGCACTGAAGGGGCCCAAAGGGAGACCCTCCGCCTGACCCAGCCTATGGGGGCGTCCATCCTGAGCGGTTGGTGCCCATGGAGTACCGTTTGTTAAATATTTTGAATATTATTCCTGATCATCTATGTAATAAAGCATTTTGCTGTTGGCAAAGACACATATACAGTCTCAGGACCCTAAATCTAGGCAATGTCCTATTCAATCAACCCATCATTCATTTATGACCTAAGCTACATATTGAGAGAGCTTTTCGTTATTGATTGATTGGATCACTCATTTCTGAGCATATTCACTCATAGACTCAGTTATTAATTATGCCACAGTCACTCCACCCACATACATAAATCCCTTATCAGCGGTCTGGGTGCACCAGGTGGGCCTTGGGTGGTCTCTCCTTTGAGAACCCCACTGTCTCCTGTGGGGGATGGAGTGTGTGCACCACCATCTCTAAACCAAGAGCAAATGGGTCATTACCAGGAGAGAAAATGGTGTTCAACGAGAGGTGTCAGGCACAACGAGCAGCAACTAACCTGAGCTTGAAGGATGGACAGGACAGGGGCACTGGGGTGGGGGACTCTTGTTGGCTTTTGAGCAGGGCAGGACAGATGGTTGGATCTGCATTTTAGCCAGAGCTGAGCTGCCTTGCCTCAGTGCCCACTGGTGAAATCACATGGGCTTTGGGGCAAAACAGGGTTCTAGTTTGATTCCCTGATTAACTTGCTGGGGAGGGGTTGGGCACTCAGGCAAGTTACTGAGCATTTCAGAGTCTCAGGTGTCTCAGCTCTAGAAAGGAACAACAAACCTATTTCTTCCAGTTGTGACTTTCTGTGAGCAAACTCAGCACCAAAAACAGGGCACGAAGCAGGTACTGTGTCACACGATAAGTGCCCAGTAAAAGGCTATTATTGCTCCAAGAGTTATGGGACCAGAAAACAGAGGATGACATCAAGAGACCCCCTGGGGTCCAATCAGCAGATTGGATGCAGCAAAGAAATGAGACTGCAGTGTGTGAGCTTTCAGGGTGAGGAGGAAGGGAATGGCATTCCCTGGAACAAGGGCGTGTTAGGACAGACAGGTTTACATAGTGTGTTAGTTTGCTGTGGCAAATTACTTCAACCTGTAGTGGCTGAAAGCAACAATCAACATTTGTTGCTTGTTTCTGTGGGTTAGAAATTTTGAAGCAGCTTAGCTGTGTAGTCCTGGCTTAGGGTCTCTTGTGGGGTTAAATCAAGATGTTGGCCAGGGCTGCGGTCACCTGAAAGCCTGACCGAGGCTGGGAGATCTGCTTCTGAGGTGGTGCACTCACACAGCTCCCAAGGCAGTGCTGGGTGTTAGCAGGAGGCCTCAGGTTCTCCCCACTGGGCCTCTCCACGGGGCTGCTTGAGTGTCCTCATGAGATGGCGGCTGGTTCCCCTTTCGAGATCCAGGAGACTCCCTCACACTCACTTGGTCCGGTAGACCAGCTCTGATCCACCATGAGAGGAGAGTACTCAGCACTGGAGTACAGGAGGCCGGCCACCTTGGAGGCTGGCTACCAGAGATGGCGAGGTAATGGGGTCACTTTCTGACATACAGGCTTGGAAGTGTTGCTCAGGGACCCAGACAGGGAAGATAAACAGGCTGTTGGCTATGCCAAAAAGTAATAACATTATTATGACGAGTGCAACTACTATTATTGCTGCTGCTGCCACAGAAATAATAATGATGGTAGCCACAGAAAGAGGAGCTGCATGTTTCATCAAATGCTACTCCCAGTTTTAGCACCTAACAGGTGCCAGTGGCCATGTTGGGCACTTTATGTACATCCTCCCATTTCATCCTCACAGTGACCCCTTGAGCTCAGTTTAGTCTCCTCTTGTGCTAGATAAGAAAACTGAGGCTCACTCTGGCCTCGGGCTCAAGTTCATGTAGTAAGAAGGGCGGAGCTGGGGTTAGAACATCAGGAAGGGTTGGAATCAGGGCAGCTCTGGAGACCTGGGCAAGAGGAGCTGTGATCTTTCCCATCCAGCAAGGCCATCAAGTACCTGATGCTTGGTTTCACATTTCTGTGACAAAGAATCTGATTGGTCCAGTCTGAGTCAAGTGCATTCTCCAAGACCAATGAACGACGGCCAGAATACTAAATGCAGCACGGGAGTGACGCTGTGTGCTGGGCATGTGCGTGCCTGTGTGTGGTCTGTGTGTGTGTGTGTGTGTTTGTGTGGTGTGAACTCCCAAAGGAATCATCATGAGCTAGGCTTCCATCCCCAAAGGAGTCAACTAGAGCAGGGGTCAGCACACTTTGTAAAGGGCCAGTTTGTGGCTGTTTTTGTCTCTGTGGGCCATGTGGTCTCTCTCAAAACAGCTCACCTCTACCTTTGCAGCACCAGAGCAGCCAAAGACCACAGACATCCACTAGAGAAAAAGAGCGTGACCGTGTCCCAATAAAACTTTATTTTTAAAAACAGGCAGGGGGCTGGATTAGGCTTGGGAGCCATAGTTTGGCAATCCCTGAACTGAGTGCTAAAATTGTTCTCTGGTTGTTTTAATTTTAATTTTTATTTTTGAGATGGAGTCTTGCCTCTTCCCCAGGCTAGAGTGCAGTGGTGCGATCTCAGCTCACAGCAACCTCCTCCTCCCGGGTTCCACCTCAGCCTACAGAGTGGCTGGGATTGCAGGTGTGCGCCACAACACCCGGCTAATTTTGTATTTTTAGTAGAGATACGGTTTCACCATGTTGGCCAGGCTGGTCTTGAACTCCTGATCTTAAGTGATCTGCCCTCCTCGGTCTCCCAAAATGCTGGGATTACAGGCATGAGCCACTGCACCTGGCCCCTGGTTGTTTTAAAATCTTCCTTTCCTGTCTGTGGTGGACATGACATGTGCCACCAAGAGCCTTGCCTCTGCCATAGAAGGCCTTGCTGCCCAGCTACAGGGAGTAAGGCCAGCACACAGCTCCAGCTGTCAATTTCCCAGGAGGCCTCCACTGTGGAGGGCCACCTCATCCAAGGCCACAGCCTTGCTGGGCCTGCCAGCAACAGGTTGCAGTACTGTGTCTGGAGGCTCAGCTATTTTGATCCGGAGCTCCCCACTGGTCATCCTAGTACATCATCCACCTCTGTTCAACCCCGTTTTTACCATCAAACATGCATTTCTTAGACAAAATGGGGAAAACAACCCCAATCTTGTAATATGGTACATTAATTGATAAATATCACACAAGCGTCGTGTAAAGACTAGTGGCTCTCAGGGGCTGGGGGAGGAAGAGGTCTCTAAGGGCCAAAGTACTCAGGATGGCTTCCTAGAAGAAGGGCATGGGAGCTGCCTGTCAAGGATTCCTTCCTGAGTTAATTTGCTGTGCCAGGTGGGCTGGCACTGGGTGGGCAGAGCGGCTGAGGCAGTCAGTCTTAACGAGAGGGGGTGGCCATGTGGGCAGATACTGCTGCAGAGATGAGAAGGCCAAGCTGGCCTGAAAGAAGGGCCTGTTTCAAGAGGGAAACAGCGAGAGTGTGCAGAGGGAAAGTGAGGGGCTTGTCCCAGCTCAGGGCATAGTTCTGGGAGGGGCCTGGCAATGGCTTTGCCCACATCTCAAAATTCTGCACATTTCCACCACGAGTGAGGTCTTGGTGGCTGAGAATCTTCTACCCTTGAGTCTTCAGTTCTGTGTGCGTTTCTGGGCTTCTGGCTTTGTGGTGTCAGTGGGACCGTTTTGGGAAAACAACAGACAAAAAGAAACCCCGGCACACTGCCCTCCTCCATCATTCTTGGTCATTCAGTCCCTGCCAGGGAACCCAGCCATGGCTACTGCTTTCAAAGAGAGGTGACACACCTGCACACTCACCAGGGATGCTGTCACAGGGGCCATGGCATAAAATACAAACCACGTACCCTGAAAGGGGTGCCTTCAGAAAGGCTCTGCCGAGCAAGGGGTGATGTGGAAGGATGGGCAGGATTTCCACAGGCAGGCAGGTGGGGGCACCTTGGACAGAAGAGTGGCCATCCTCGGACCTGCCAGGCAATGGGGGCAGCTGTGTGACCAGCCTGCTTTTGACCTTCGGGAAGGGCGCTACAGAAGATGAGGCTGGAAGACCAGGTTAGCACCAGGTCACACCAGCCTGGCCACCATGCGGGCCCCAGATGTGTTTCCTGCTGGAGCCTGAGCCCCTGAGCTGTCAAAGAGGCAGCTGGGGTCACACCCAGGGGCAGTAGTAGCCACAGAAAGAGGAGCTGCATGTTTCATTGTGCACATTTTATAAATGTGGAAAATGAGTCCGGAGGGGAGAGGAAGCTGCTTCAGGCCATGCAGCCAGGAGGTGGCCAGGCCACTTCTGCCTCAGGTTGTGTGGGCCCCAATTCCTTGGCTCTGCAGTGTTGGGACTCCCAGGTCTGCAGCTTGGGACTTTCAGAGCGGCACCCTCCAATCACACAGGAACAGGGACAGTCTGCCCTTGCCCCAAATTCTCTGGGTTCAGGCACACCTGAGGGCCTAAGACATGTGTCCCCAAGATCGTCATACCCCTGATTCATGTATTGTCCAATTGCATACCATTTCAATTGTACAGTCAAGTGGGGGCGGGGGGAGGGACATTTGGCAATACTCCATTATTCAACAGAGGGTTACTAAGTGCAGGTGTGTGACAGGTGATGGATTCTGTGGTGAGTGGGACAGATGCAGTGGACCACAAAGCCCTACACTTGTGGAGAACCCTTGACCCTGATATTTCTTCTCCTTAAAATTACCCAGAGGTAATAGTCATAGCTATGAAGTGACATCAGAAAGAACCAGCCTATACTGGAAGTGCCAGCAGAGCAGGGCTATCCCCCAAAAGCAAGAAATACTTTTGAAAATTAATGTAATACCTCAAGCAAAGCAGAAAAACCCTTGTATTTAATAGTGCACCTTGTTGCGAGACTGCACCAAATAATTGCAGTGCTTGGAGGCCCCTTGATTCTTAATCTGGCTCTGAGGAGGACCGCAAGGATGCAGCTACAACCGTGGCTGGGGAGTATTGTGTAAAATAATGAAAATTAGAAACGACTCCAATGCCCAGCAAGGGGGGAACTGATTAGCTACCTCAGGGGATGCCGTATGATTTCACTCTGGGTAATTGCTAGAAAACATGAGGAATACTTAAAGGCTTAGGGGAATAGTATCACACAGAGCTGCCTCGGCTTAGCAGGTATCAAAACAGTGCTTAATATAATCCGCTTTGGTGTTCGTTTATTTGTTTGTTTTTAAAGTATAGAGGCATAGAAAAGCCTGAAAGAAAAGATCCCACAATGTAAGAAGCAGACATCTAGAGCTGGTGGAATTACAGGTGATGCTTATTATACGATATTATATTATATTTTTGCTCTTATGCATTTTCCAAATTTTCTTTAATGAGTCTATGTTACTTTGGAAATGAATTATAAACTTCAAATGTGTCACGTAGAGCACCAGCCCAGCATTTGCTGAGCTCTCTGGAGCGGATCAGGTGGGGTCCTGACCTGCAGGAACTCCCAGCCTGGTGCCATGGGCCAGGCAGGGCCCAGCCATAAAAATAGAACTGCTCAGAGCCCTTCCTTGCGTGACAGCCCCTGGCGAAGGGGTTGGCATTCCCAGTATGAGGTGCCCCTCAAGGGAAAATGAAGGAAAACATGAAACCAAAAACTGCCTGAGTTGGTTATGAACACAAACGCATGAGGCTGCAGCCCCAGCCGGCAGGTTTGCACACCTGATTGCTGCCCACTCACCTGCCCAGGGGAGCTCTGGGCGCCACGCCAGGCCCCCTGCAGCCAGACTGCAGTCATGGTTGGTAGTTTCACCCCCACATCCCTGATGGAGCAGGCCCGAGGGAGGTTCCTAGGAAAGCCATGGCACACTCGGGCTGGGATCTGGGCGATGTGGAATCCAGCGGGAGGAAGTGAAGGCAGGGAGGCGAGGGGCCAGTCCAAGGCCTCATCGCTGGGCTAGCACAGCTCAGAGCACCAGCCACCCATTCTCCACTGCTCACCAACCTTCATTTATCCTTGGAGTCTCAGATAGTGCCTTTGAGACGTGATGTTTATGTCGTCATCATAGTGTTCACTGAGGGCCTCCCCGACTTCAGATCCCTGGCATGCAGCCTTCCCTTCCCTCCTGGGGCCTCCTGGCCAGGAGCAAAGAGCCCTGGCCGGTCTCTTCATGTGGAGCTGTGAGGTAAAGGCACTTAGACTGCAGCCCCAGATTGGCTCCTCTTCATGCCTGCCTTGGTTTCAGGCTGAAGTCCTTGATGCAAGAAGGTGGCAGAAGAAAGGGGCTGAATTTTAGATCAAGTCCAAATAATTGTGACGGACTACTTGCTGTATGCCCACTGTTATTACAGATACCTGGTAGAATTCAGGGGAGTGATTTAATAAGAGAAACTTTTGGAAAATAATGCAGGATTGTGTATAATCTGGGGGTAGATGGTGTGTGTGTGTATGTGTGTGTGTGTATGTAGGAGTATCAATATGTAATACCTGTTATGATCAGCTGGGAGGGCTTCCTGAAGGAGCTGGGCTTAAAGTGTGAGATGAGTGGAAAAGGCA